ACCACATGAGTGCTCTCTGGCTACTCCGGTTTCCTCCCACATAAAGATAACCTGCCCCACCACATGAGTGCTCTCTGGCTACTCCGGTTTCCTCCCACATAAAGATAACCTGCCCCACCACATGAGTGCTCTCTGGCTACTCCGGTTTCCTCCCACATAAAGATAACCTGCCCCACCACATGAGTGCTCTCTGGCTACTCCGGTTTCCTCCCACATAAAGATAACCTGCCCCACCACATGAGTGCTCTCTGGCTACTCCGGTTTCCTCCCACATAAACATAACCTGCCCCACCACATGAGTGCTCTCTGGCTACTCCGGTTTCCTCCCACATAAAGATAACCTGCCACACCACATGAGTGCTCTCTGGCTACTCCGGTTTCCTCCCACATACAGATAACCTGCCCGCCAGCTTCCTTACTAGTAAACATCTTGTTTCATTATTGTTGTAAAATAAAGAAATTTCATTTAAATCATCCACTTACGTTTGGTCAAAATGAGGCCCCAGCTTCTGAAGACTTTTGGCGACGTTGAATCTTACATTGGCAACCGAATCAGCCGCAAGACTGGTGATGGTTGGCAAAAGCGTCTTGTTGGTGATTTCTGACCCAAGGGCCTCTGATAATAACTGCAAATAGCACACAACAATACTGTGAGGTCAGTTGTAAAGACTTTGATATCTAGTCACCTTGTTGGTGATTTCTGACCCAAGGGCCTCTGATAATAACTGCAAATAAATAGCACACAAAAATACTGTGAGGTCAGTGGTAAAGACTTTGCTATGACATATTCCAGGGGTGTAGAGAGCAAAAGTGAGTGTAACCCCTGGATATCGTGGATGAAGTGAGCATAACCCCTGGATATCGAGGATGAAGTGAGTGTAACCCCTGGATATCGAGGATGAAGTGAGTGTAACCCCTGGATATCGAAGATGAAGTGAGTGTAACCCCTGGATATCGAGGATGAAGTGAGTGTAACCCCTGGATATCGAGGATGAAGTGAGTGTAACCCCTGGATATCGAGGATGAAGTGAGTGTAACCCCTGGATATCGAGGATGAAGTGAGTGTAACCCCTGGATATCGAGGATGAAGTGAGTGTAACCCCTGGATATCGAGGATGAAGTGAGTGTAACCCCTGGATATCGAGGATGAAGTGAGTGTAACCCCTGGATATCGAGGATGAAGTGAGTGTAACCCCTGGATATCGAGGATGAAGTGAGTGTAACCCCTGGATATCGAGGATGAAGTGAGTGTAACCCCTGGATATCGAAGATGAAGTGAGTGTAACCCCTGGATATCGAGGATGAAGTGAGTGTAACCCCTGGATATCGAGGATGAAGTGAGTGTAACCCCTGGATATCGAAGATGAAGTGAGTGTAACCCCTGGATATCGAGGATGAAGTGAGTGTAACCCCTGGATATCGAGGATGAAGTGAGTGTAACCCCTGGATAACGAAGATGAAGTGAGTGTAACCCCTGGATATCGAGGATGAAGTGTGTGTAACCCCTGGATATCGAGGATGAAGTGAGTGTAACCCCTGGATATAGAAGATGAAGTGAGTGTAACCCCTGGATATCGAAGATGAAGTGAGTGTAACCCCTGGATATCGAAAATGAAGTGAGTGTAACCCCTGGATATCGAGGATGAAGTGAGCATAACCCCTGGATATCGAGGATGAATTGAGTGTAACCCCTGCATATCGAGGATGAAGGGAGCATAACCCCTGGATATCGAGGATGGAGGGAGTGTAACCCCTGGATATCGGGGATGAAGTGAGTGTAACCCCTTGATATCGAGGATGAAGTGAGCATGACCCCTGGATATCGAGGATGGAGGGAGTGTAACCCCTGGATATCGTGGATGAAGTGAGCATAACCCCTGGATAGCGAGGATGAAGTGAGTGTAACCCCTGGATATCGAGGATGAAGTGAGCATAACCCCTGGATATCGAGGATGGAGTGAGTGTAACCCCTGGATATCGAGGATGAAGTGAGTGTAACCCCTGCATATCGAGGATGCAAGAAAGTTAGTTTGAGAACATAATCCATGCTTGAGCATGAGAACGGTTTCCTGGCCTCTATGCATTTTTTCCACTGGATCCAGGGCAGGAAAGTCTTTGAATTTTCCCTATACTTGTTATCTGCCATTAACTTACATGAAATCGTGGCTACTTACATTGATACAAAATAAACAGGTGAGTCTGTGTAGGTAGTTTTGATCGCGGGCCATGGAGTTCACTTTGGGTATAACAGTCTGAGAGGCCCAGTCTGATCCAAACTTCTCCACCAGCTTCTTAAGGTTCAGGGTCGCTGCTTCACGGATAGCAAACACTGTGGCGAGGTAAACAAGAGAATTTTAATGACAGATATGAATTGAAGGGCAATAACTCTCTTTAATAATAGGCATTGGGCCTGAATCGCTCACCTGGTATTAATCTCATACTTGTAATCTTAAAAGTGGACTAAAACAGCTACAGGCAAAATATCAGTGTTTGATTCAAAAGAATCTATTAAATATATGACACATGTGACCTTGAAAGTCGAAGAAGGACATTAAGTTGAACTGACTTTATAGCCTTTCAACCCAGCATGCTTCTGGCCAATTATTATTACTCTGGACCTCTATGTTTTTCAGAAGTTGTTTAAAGATTTCAACATTTTTGACCCCTGTGACATTGAAAATGGATGAAGGTCATTCATTTGAACAAACTTGGTAACCCCTAATCCAAGCATGCTACTGGCCAAACATCTCCAACCTAAACCTTTTTGTTACTTAGAAGAAGGACGATGGACGGATGACGGAGCAACACCATGGCATAAGCTCACGTGAGCTAAAAATGACCCAATAAAACCAAGTATCGAACTTATAGAAGATTGTATAGCATTTAACTCTCTTACCAAGTTTCAAATTAATTGGTTCATAATTACTTAAGATATTGAGCAGACACTGGAAGTTTACGGAAGGACGGAGGGTATACCAAAATATGACACATCTAGACGGGCATTTAAAACAAATTTCTGAACATGAACTTTTGATTTCCATTTCTTTAATGCATAATATCTTAAGTTGTGGTGATAAACATCAGGTGAGTAAGATTAAAGCCTTTCTCTACTAGGGAAGTGAAACCCACACCTACCAACATATCAGGGTTCAAATACTTTAGACCCCATGGCTGACTGGATCTCTTCAATTGGTGGTCTATTAAAAGTTCATTACCATTTATTATATTTTACTTGCGATGGAAAACGGTTTTATTTTAACATATCTTCTCTGTCCAAGGGACATAAAAAGATCTGGTTTTAATAATAGAAAGCAAATGGGAAAACACATCAAACATCCATCACTTTAATTCACTCTTGCAGTAAAACTTACCATGGTCAGCAAGCCAGGTCATACACAGGGAATTCAATTTTTCATCGAAGAATTCAACACCCTAAAAAAAAGATGACAAAAATTACAACTGGTAAGAAAAAAAATAATGAAGTAAAACTATGACAGAGAATATACTATACCAAGATCAGCTTTACTGAAGCTTTTCACCTTTCTGCCTGTCATAAGACATAACAGCATACTACTACATGCCTAGATTAATTATTTACACGGTGACCAGAAAATAGGAAACAAATATGGATTTAAAGGTAAATTGGACTATGTCCATCAGCTAACATTTCCCTGTAATGCTAGGTTAATATTTCTTGGGTGGGGTTGGGGGTAATATTTCCAAATATCAGTACTAAAGAGTGAATGTTTTGTAGGGCAAACCTTTCCCTATGTACAGTACTGCAGCCTACTAAATTAATATTTCAGGGTTTATTTTCTTATATATTTTTGCTGTCTATCAAGCTTGAATAAGTATGCATTATGCAAACTCTACAAGTATGTTACCAATCTGACAGAATGATTACTACGGCTGCAACGATATCGTACCTCATGGTACCATACATATCACGGTATCATGTTTTCGATTCTTGTACCAGACAGACCGTAGCCCATTGCCTGTAGGACGGTGGATCTCCGTGCCGGATAATTGAGTTGGTTTACCAACATTTTTATTCCAATTTTTTGATACGTAAGATAGTATCACAGTACAATATATCGCTGCAGCCTTAATGATTAATATAAACTTTTTACTTGAAGGGACTTGTACCCAGTGCCTTTTAGCTGGTGTCACTTACCAATTGTCCAGCTAGGAGTGGCATGTACTCTATAATGGCCAACCTCACTCTCCACTTAGTGTCCTCAGCCAACTCAACAATGGCGGGCAGAAGGCTCTGTGACAACTGCTTGATTCCAATAACCTATAGGTACAGAAAAGCAAAAGTGACTTAAAATAATTTCAATCTTTTTAAAAGAACGATGTATATTTAAAATTAATTAAACTTTAATTATTTCTAAAAAAAATGAAAAGAAAAGAAAAACCTGGAGGGTACACCAATGAGCTTTGGATGTTAAACATAGAATGTCACACAATGTACATCATAGCTTTCGTATGTAACCTTGAGCTGTAAGGCAACAATGGGAACTCTGTGGCTTCCAGACAGTAATTCACACACTATAATTTAGCCGACAATGACATGACATACCTCATTTACACAGTCCAGATTTGAGATGATGTTCAGTCGGACCTCCGGGCATTCATCCTTCAGTTGTGTTAGGAACAGGGGCAGTAGGTGTTCTATTGTGCTGTAAGTATACCACATCGATTTATTAGAGATTTATTACGGATACTGATAGCTTGTATTGGGCTAGTACAACATTATACCCATTATAAACAACATAAACATATCTAATAGAACCACTTCATGTCATATCTAAAATACAGTAGGCATTTGTATGTAATTGTTTCACTTAAGAGATCAATAAGACATGATGACTTTACCCCCCTTAATGGATTATTTTCAGTATCTGACCTTGACCATTCAGTTTCTAAGAAAATCTCAGAAAACAAAAGTGTGGATGGACAGACGGACACTGATAACTACCAGGTCACTGACATCTGTGACGCGGGGGCCCTAACTAACTATTAATCATGTGACCTGTATAAAATATTTTGCATAAAAACAATTAAATCTACACTCTACCAACCCTAAACCTTCAAGAGCTTAAGTGGAAACACAACAAATACTTTGCTTGGCCTAAGTGAACATTGATATCACATTTATGTCATGAGAAAGTTGATTAGGCCAAAAAAAGGTGTTTCCCTGTTTGTGCTTGCATAAATTAGGGTTAGTTGTTAGTCAAATTAAAAAAAGAGTTTTTACTAATACTTTTAGAGCAGATTATGAGAAGATCTGACTTGGTACCAGCTTATCACTTAATGCCAATAAAAACTTTAGGGTAGACACAAAAATCTAGGGTCTGTAGGGAAACAGAAACCCACATGATTTGTTTGTCCTACACTAGATAGGGATTAACACTTACTTGTCCTTTCCAAGGATAGGAGACAGACCCATGATGACGGAGGCTAGGGCGGACTTGACATGCTGATTAGCGTCAGATACCAGGTCCTTCACACAGGGTAGGATACTGTTCATAATAACCTGTTCTCGTACATCCTCCGACAGGTTCTGACAGAAATCTGTAACATCATGTACCATCAATATCAACTCTCCTTTCTGCATTGACTCATACTTCTCATATTTCTGTCTAGTCCAAACAATTTTGTTCAGCATATTTTTTAAGCCAATAATCATCCTTCATCGGTTCTAATCAAATTCTAAGATTGATGTGAAATACATTTTATAAGTAGTGAAAAAACAAATTTGCTTCAACAATGGGGAATTATTTATTAAGGGTGGCTTATGTGTACCACGGTTATATTTGGTACCTCAATAATTTCAGAGAAGTCAAACTGGCCACAGACATTTGTTTACTTACAGGAAACACTTACAGTAATGTAGAATGTCGAAAGATACCTGCTCAAACATAAAATTCTTCATGTTGAATTTTAATTTGTAACCTTTTCATGTGACTTGAGTTTCTAGTTATAACGTAAACTTTAGATCTTAATACATAGATTGTTAATCAACCACTTATAATAGACGTTGTAATGTATTCGTACTGACCTTTGACCTTGTGAGCAGCAGCTGCTCTGACCTCTGCCTCACAGTCCTTCAATAGTCCCTGGAAGGCCTGCACCAGGTCATTCTTTGTAATCTCTGGTCCTACTGCCTTTTGTAGCTGAAAGTGTTAGAATGGTAAAATTAACACCAACAAGACAAATTGTTGTTACAAAGTAAGATGTTTATATTAAAATTAATGTTTTCTATTTATATAGATAATCTACAAGATCAATTGCTAATAACTAATTATATAAATTATTAATCAAAGAGACATTATTTTCATTTCTGTTGTTAATATTCAATGGTTCCGCAAAGACAATATATTTATAATATATTTGATTAAATTAAAAAAACATGTAACAATTTTTTTCATTTTCTCATGCTAAAACAAAAACTTTGCTTTAATAAAAGTGATGTAGTAAAAGGGATTTTAAGATTGTTTTTATAGCATGATCAAGAATATCATACTTTCTGCTGGTGAACAACTAATATCCTTACCACAGAATATCATACTTTCTGCTGGTGAACAACCTTTATCCTTACCACAGAATATCATACCTTCTGCTGGTCACGAACTAATATCCTTACCACACAATATCATACTTTCTGCTGGTGAACAACCTATATCCTAACCACAGAATATCATACTTTCTGCTGGTCAATAACTTATATCCTTACATCAGAATATCATACTTTTACTGGTTAATATCTAATATCCTTACCACAGAATATCATACTTTCTGCTGGTCAATAACTAATATTTCTGGTATACTACCACAGAATATCATACTTTCTGTTAGTTAATAACTAACATCCTTACCACAGAATGTCATACTTCCTGCTAGTGAACAACTAATATCCCTACCACAGAATATCATACTTTCTGCTGTTGAACAACTAATATCCTTACCACAGAATGTCATACTTTCTGCTGGTCAATAACTAATATCCTTACCATAGAATATCATACTTTCTGCTGGTTAATAACTACTATCCTTACTACAGAATATCATAACTAATATCCTTACCACAGAATATCATACTTTCTGCTGGTCAATAACTAATATCCTTACCATAGAATATCATACTTTCTGCTGGTTAATAACTACTATCCTTACTACAGAATATCATAACTAATATCCTTACCACAGAATATCATACTTTCTGCTGGTCACTAACTAATATCCCTACCACAGAATATCATACTTTCTGCTGGTCAATAACTAATATCCCTACCACAGAATATCATACTTTCTGCTAGTGAACTACTAACATCCCTACCACAGAATATCATACTTTCTGCTGGTCAATAACTACTATCCTTACTACAGAATGTCAAACTTTCTGCTGGTGAACAACTAATATCCTTACCACAGAATATCATACTTTCTGTTAGTTAATAACTAATATCCCTACCACAGAATATCATACTTTCTGCTGTTGAACAACTAATATCCTTACCACAGAATGTCATACTTTCTGCTGGTGAACAACTAACATCCTTACCACAGAATATCATACTTTCTGTTAGTTAATAACTAATATCCCTACCACAGAATATCATAACTAATATCCCTACCACAGAATGTCATACTTTCTGCTGTTGAACAACTAATATCCTTACCACAGAATCCCATACTTTCTGCTGGTGAACAACTAACATCCTTACCACAGAATATCACACTTTCTGCTGGTCAATAACTAATATCCTACCACAGAATATCATACTTTCTGCTGGTGAACAACTAATATCCCTACCACAGAATATCATAACTAATATCCCTACCACAGAATGTGATACTTTCTGCTGTTGAACAACTAATATCCTTACCACAGAATGTCATACTTTCTGCTGGTGAACAACTAATATCCCTACCACAGAATATCATACTTACTGTTAGTTAATAACTAATATCCCTACCACAGAATATCATACTTTCTGCTGGTCAATAACTAATATCCTTACCACAGACTATCATACATTCTGCTGGTCAATAACTAATATCCTTACCACAGAATATCATACTTTCTGCTGGTTAATAACTAATAATCCTTACCACAGAATGTCATACTTTCTGCTGGTGAACAACTAATATCCCTACCACAGAATATCATACTTTCTGCTGGTTAATAACTAACATCCTTACCACAGAATATCATACTTCCTGCTGGTGAACAACTAACATCCTTACCACAGAATATCATACTTCCTGCTGGTGAACTGCTGTGTAATACATAGCAACAACAGTTAATTCAATGACTGCAACTTACTTCAATGAATTTATCTGCGACCATGTAGCGTACTCGCCAGGACTTATCCTCCGCTGCTAATCGTAAAGTTGGCATCACAAACTGATCGGTGTCCTCTGAAGGTAGCAGGGAGGCAATGCTGACACAGGCTTCTACAGCTAACAGTCTCACAGAGTCCTGTCACAAACAGACGTTATCGCAATCAATTTATTTTACACTTATCACCTAGTTTATGTCATTTCCAGGGATTATTATTATTTCAGACAAGGCTTAAAATTTAATTGAACGATTCAACCATACAAAGATTAATCTGTCTTTTTCTATTAAGTCAGCATTTCATTGCCTAAAACAATCAAACCGATTGAAAATACCTTGTCCATTAAATAAGCCTAAATCTTTAGAAAATCATTATGAAATAATTTCATGTCATCTTACCAACTTGGTGTGTTTCAGTCTTACCAGGTTTTTAGACACATCAAGTATACTTTTACCTGTTCATCCTGAGACAATATTGTAAACATAGGTATAAGGTCAGATTTCAGTTTTTCGGTCTCCACAGCTTTGGCAAATTCTCCAAGTTTTCCCGCTCCAGCCCGACGAACCATTGGGGTGTCATCTCCCGCCAAATTTCTAAATTGCCTGCAAAAGATAAACAGTTCATTATTTTCCCAAAGAGCTAACAATCATTATCATTCCTAATTTATGTTTATGAAGAGTACTTAACAAACACCATGTAGTAGTCACTAACAGCAGATTGAAAGTGGTCAGCACCAATACAGAAACCTAGATTCAGGAGTTGCTTCCCTTCTCTTATGAAATGAAAATGAGTGTAAGATCCTTTTTATCACATAATCAAGATTTGTGGCATTTATTTGTGTAAAACGATAATTTTCATGCAACCTTGATATGTAAAAAGCCACCATTTTGACTCCAGTGCGTATATCTGTGATGTCATACATGTACTTGTCCTAGGCATAATGTCACAAATGAAACTTACAACCAATCAGGCTGATAGGTCATATAACATGAGTTAGTTCGCAAAACAATATGACATGGGTTTATTCTCTGGATAACACAGTGCATTATGTGATAAATTAAATCATCAAAACGTTTCTTCTTAAACATGTTGGTAAAATTCCAAATTAATAACTTATTATTATTCAGGCATGTTTTGTCCTTTAGACAATGGATATTACACACAAGCTAGTGTGGGTGCTACAGGTGTGTGTCTTCCTTTAGACAATGAATATTACACATGAGCTAGTGTGGGTGCTATAGGTGTACATGTGTGTGAGAGGGAGACTTACATATCGGATCTTAAATGAGTTTTCATTTCATGAGATTTTATGAAACGAGTCTTAGGAGTTTCTATTTTTGCGAGTCTTAAAACTTCGAAACGAGTTTCATAAAAGCTCATATGAGATGAAAACAAATTTAAGATACTTTTTATCAAATAACTCAGAAAACTTTCATATTGACAGGTTTTAAAGCCAAAATGTAGAGGGCTTAATCACATTTATGACGTCATGTCATTGTCCATATCATGACGTCACAATCTATTTCTGACTGGCACAGCCAATGAAAAACGCTCCTTGGTATATTACACAGGCGAATTCACTGGATAACAGGCCGACTATGTGATAAAACATTCTATATATCTAATCACTACTGGAATAGTAGACTACTATAGGCTTAGCCTGTTGTAAGACTCTTTTTTAGATAATGTACTTGAATTTGATTTAATATTTACAGCTTACATGTTTGTATTATATATGTATTATCAATAAAATACTTTTGAATTGAACCCTTAGCCCTTACACCACTGTAGACCATAATGGACTCATCCAGATCAATGCATGGTAGAGTCTACTAAAGTTACATAGGGGTGAAAGGGTTAATATAAACATTGAACAACACTGCTCACTGTAAGATACTACTTACTGTCGGAGTTCGTCTTTGATGGTAGTTGACACTCGGGGATAACAGACTGCAAACAGTCCACATGCTGACGTGCGAGAGGTAAACCAGTCACCTGAAATATGTCATTCTGGGTCAATTTCTGGATTTTCTTTTCTTTTCCATTAAAAACATTATTTTTTTTTATCAACAATCCTTTAAGACAGAGTAGCATCCAATAAAAAAATGAAGATACACAGTCAGTTGTCTGGAGTCTGCTTCAGCCTACTTAAATAAAAATATATCTGAATTGTGTATACCCTAGAAAAGACATGTAAAAATGTAATGAAGCTCACCTCCAGACAATCTCTTCACAAGTGGGACAAAGTGATTTTCCAGATCTGCCTGCGAGTGTTGAGCAGCGATGGTACGCAGGGAGTCAACAGCCTTGTCGCGGACTACAGTCTCTTCCACTGTGGCCAGGCTCTCCAGAGGAGGCTAAAATAGTCAAATATTACCTTGAGCTATTCAGTAAATAATTTACATTCTTTTATGAAATGCATTTAAACCTGAAAATATACCAACGATTCCAGAATTTAGAGATCTTATGATGTCTTTGTTTTGGTACATTTAAAGTAAACACAGGTCAATTTGTCGGATAAACTTTGCTCGTTTACAGGACCAAATGTCTTGTAATTTGTTTTAAGTCGAGTATACACAATGCATGATTTAATTATTCTTACATTAGAATCACATCACAAGTGTAAGTAAAATAGGAGCACACTTTGTAATTTATATAAATCGTTTAGAATTCCTATATTAAACCAAAAATTAAATCATCTGGCTTGGGCATTTTCAATTGCAAGCACACTGATCATGAGAGCTCAGGGTGAAACTTACCAGATTGCAGTGGACAAACTCTGGTCCTCCAACAAGAGGGGTAAAACTTACCAGAAGGCAGTGGACAAACTCTGGTCCTCCAACAAGAGGGGTAAAACTTACCAGAAGGCAGTGGACAAACTCTGGTCCTCCAACAAGAGGGGTAAAACTTACCAGAAGGCAGTGGACAAACTCTGGTCCTCCAACAAGAGGGGTAAAATTTCCAAGTTGTTCGGCCAAAGCCAATAGCACTTCATCCTCATCATAGATTGTGTCTACAAAAGATAATTAGTTAAGTTCAAATACAGGAACAAACATGGCTGCTAACATTTTCATGCTCAAAACTTGAAAATTAAGTAGTTAAATCTTTGATTTCTGTAACTTTTCGTTTTCTACCCCAGTTATCACAAGTTCTCTTCTGAGAAAGTTTGGGTCAATATTTTACTCAATTCTGGGATTTCAGTTTTTCTGTTTTTAAAACAAAATTTGATGGGAAAAAAACCCAATACATATTTTGAATAAATACAAGTTATCATTAATAATATTATGTTTAAATAGTTACTTTTATTTACCAAACTTCTTTTGATGAACATTAAAACCAAGGAAATAAATAAGTGTTTCTTATGTCTGAAATATCATCAATATTATTGTTTTAAATATTCTAAAAAAATACAATTTATAGAAAGGTGTATGAGTTTTGTACATTGAATAATAGATATGACATTTGTTACATTTATCTCTTATCTTTACATTTGTATCCCTTACTTAATCCCCATTAAAAATAATTTAAAGAAGAAATATTTAAAAGCTGTTTGTGCTATAGGGGGAAACATTTACATGAAAAAGTTTATATCATAGTTCTTATTATTGTAAGAGAAAATGTTTTAATAAAATGTAGTGTTTTTATTTCCTCCAAAACTGTATTAAATACTGCTGTCAGTAAATGTGATCAAAGATTAAAACAGCATTTTTATTCTTTATTAAAAACAACAAATCCGGATTTTCATTCCGTTTTCCGATTTGTATTTTACACAATCCAAGATGGCGACCATCACTAACTCAGTAACTGAATACAAACGTATTTCAGCGTTGTCAAATGCAATCATATGTGAGTAAATTAATTTATAATAGATGTAATAAGTGTTTGTTTTGTTAATCCAACAGTAGGTACCTCAATTAATCACCTATTGACCATGCTAAAAGGATCTGGTGGTAATTGCTTTAGGCTCCAGTGAGCATGCTTGCCGAACACCTGTGGGCTTATCGTCCGGCCCCTCCCCACTAATTACAGGCCCCCTGTGGCAATACGCCTATCGTGCAACTGACCAGTGGGGTCATTGCTGGACTTGGGTCAGCCGTGTGATTTAATCGTGTCAATTTCTTGTGTAAAAAGACCACCTTCAGTACAAATAACAAGGTGATACGGTTCACAGTCTAAGGTGATACCAGTGTTCCCGATCACGATGAATCCTGCGTGATTCACGCGTAGTAAACACCTTTGCACGCGTAAATTCATCATACTAAGCGTGAGTGTACGCACAATAATTTTGTACAATGTTATGTCATTTTTGTAGCATGTTTGTATTTTAAATGATGATATTCAGAAAACTGAAATCGACTGTCAGAATTTCCTGCGAATGACGGAAGTCCGGTAGTAAACAATGCAAGCAGCGCACCAAGCGGCGAATTTATAATTACTACGGGAGGTAATGAGTCCGCACTGTCCTACAATAATACCTGAGTGTGTAGCCGGACTATCAGTATTCTCGGGCCTGATTATCACTATAGTATACTGCGTAATTGATCATGAATGACGAAAAAAACAGCAGAAGCTATTTGGATTTCTGTCCTCAGCTAAAGACGACAACTTTCAGTTCATATTCTTACATAATGACTGTCTGTGCCCAGTGTGGGTAAGTTACATGATCTCTGTTTCAGTAATACGCACCATTTTTTAAAAACGTAATCAAAACACTGACATTTGAGTTTGAGTTACGTTTTCTTGTGCAATTTGAACTTAAAAACTGAATCATCTGTAGAAATAAACTGGTGCATGGCTAAGAATACATCATTGTTATAACTGGTTTTTTGGCACATTTATTGAAGGATAAGTATTTTTTCCAAAAGTGATCCGATTTGGGTACTGCCTCCTTACACAATTTTCATTCTGTTACAGACTAATTCTTGGTGTTTTTATTCTATGTCAGGCTGGAAATATTATGAAATATATAAAAACCTGTATAAATGACATAGCTACAATTAGTTAACAATTTTGTGATGATATTACATACCCATTGGGATTTAGATAAGGTGTACCCCCAATATATGCAGCCATACCCCCATTTTGAGAGGTATGGGGGTACAAAAAAAAAAACAATTACAAAAGTGATACGGGTCAATAAAGCTGATACGGAGCCGTATCAGCTAAATGGCCAGGGGAGAACCCTGGATGCCATCGGAGATCTAGTGAAAAAGTTACCTGTAAGGAAGGGAATTAGCTCACTCCTGGTCCTTTCAACACCAAGGGCTAGGGCGATTGTTGATAATTTCTTGATGCTGTTCAGACGCAACTGCAATATAACGAAACATCTTGTGTTAAATTTCAGATGGTGAGGGGGTCGGATAGAGTTTAACAGTGACTACAGTAAACATCCAGTGAATTAGGCAGGAAGTTTGAACACTTATTATATAATAACAAGAGTACCGCGGGGCGGAACAATATACGCCCGTCGAATGCCATATAGTGTTATATACTTTCTTACATTGAAATAAGATCTGCATCATTCAAAGAGTGGTTAGCTGACATGCTATAACAAGAGGCCCAAGAGGGCCTGTATCGCTCACCTGAATATTTAAGCAGTCATAGCAAAATATTCTCATTAAATATTATATTGCACTAAAAATATTTCCCTCGCAAACTTTGTTGGCTCCATCTGTTGAAACTACCAGCAAAATATTATTATAAGATTCTATGCTTTTTGATTCTTCTTCAGAAGTTGCTTGACATATTTTTCCCTGTGATCTTGTAAGTAGGTCAATGTCATTTTCCTTCTCAAATTGGTTAGCTCTATTCCAAAAAGCTACCAGCCAAATCTTATGAATCCATTCCTTTTAGTTCTCAAGAACAAATCCATTAAAATGTTGTTGACCTCTGTGACCTCTAAAGTAGGTTGAGGTCATTTTCATTTGCAAACTTTGGTGAGCTCTATCCCGGGAAGTCACCAGCCAAATATTATAATTTTATGCCTTTTAATTCTTCAGAAGAAGCTGTTTGAACTGTTTGACATATTTGAACGCTGTGACCTTGAAAGTAGGTCAAGGTCATTTTCATTCGCAAACTTTGTTTGGCTCTTTCCCAGGAAGCCACCTGCCAAATATTAAGATTTTATAACTACCAGTTCTTCAGAAGAAGTCGTTTAAAGTGTTTGACATATCTGCCTCATGTGACCTTAAAAGAAGGTCAAGGTCATTTTCATTCTCAAACTTTGTTCGGCTCTTTCCTAGGAAGCTACAAGCCAAATATAGAGATTATATACCTTTCAGTTCTTCAGAAGAAGTCGTTTGAAGTGTCTGACACATTTGACTCCTGTGACCTTGAAAGAAGGTCAAGGTCATTTTCATTCTCAAACTTTGTCGGGCTCTATCCAAGGAAGCCATCAATCAAAAATAAAGATTCTATACCTTTCAGTTCTTCAGAAGAAGTCATTTGAAGCTTTTGACATATATGACCCCTGTGACCTTGAAGGTAGGTCAAGGTCATTTTCATTCTCAAACTTTGTTGGGCTCTATCTTAGGAAGGCTTCAGCCAAATAAGAAGATTCTATTCCTTTTAGTTCTTTAGAAGAAGTCGTTTGAAGTTTTTGACATATTTGACCCCTGTGACCTTGAAAACAGGTCAAGGTCATTTTCGTTCTCAACTTTGTAGGGCTCCTACCAATGAAGCTTTCAGCCAAATATCATGACTCTAGGCCTGTCCGTTCTTCAGAAGAAGTTGTTTAAAGAAAAAGTTGACGGACGAGGACGGACGGACGACACGCCATGGCATAAGCTCACTTGGCACTTCGTGCCAGGTGAGCTAAAAATGTAGGAGAAAATCTCCGGATAAAAAATCAAATACTGAAATGAACAAAGGGCAATAACTTTTGAAAAAAAAATCGAATCAAATTTCTTTTAAGGGAGACGTAACTTCATATCATGATTATAATGTATACGAAGTTTCAAAGAGATCGGTCGAAAAATGTAGGAGGAGATTGCCGGACAAACAAAAGTTTACGCCGGCCGGATAACGTCATACCATAATACTCCCGTCAAATTTGACGGGCGTATAAAAGTAATAATTCTGTGTCTAGTGATGGATCAAACCATTAATTTCTTGCTGTCTCACATTGTGCTCTAGTCTCGCTCTCATGTCTAGAGGGAGCAAAAACTGACATTGGGCCCTTTTGAACAAGGTTTCTGGTCGTTTCACCCTAATATAAATGTAAAATATTAAGCTCAGTTGACTAAATGTCTGTATATATGCTTCCCTAGAACTGTGAATCCCACTTCATTGCAAGTATGTTTACTTTCATATAAAAAACAGCATCGTTTTATTCTGAAACCCTGTTGTTTGCTGTAAAAAGCATCAATACCAACAAGGAAGATTGAAAGTATAAAGGTTGTAATGAACATTTTTAAAATTCAATATTAGCGAACATGCATAGCTGAAGTATATACGTGTGCATGAGTAAATCACACTTCCAATGTTCAAGCTAGAGGAAATTTCCTAAGTTTCCTTCAGCTCAATTGGTTAAACCACTAACTGGGAAGCTGGTTCGATCCCAATTTTAAGTAGAAGCAGGCTACTCTCTTTCCTGTTACAAATGGTGTCTGTGGTGACAGGAAGTAAGAACCTGGGTTGTGGTAGTTTTTTTGGGGGGCAAAAACATTTAAAAACAGGAGAGTACTGTGGCAGATTTTAATTGAATATAGGAATAGTCGCCTTTAAGCATTGTGCTAGAGGGAGATTTACTTAAGCTCAGTTGAGTAGTAGCGTGTCCGACTAGTAAGTCTGGGATTGCGGGTTTGATCCCCAAGTTGAACCACACAACTCTCTTTCCTATTCCCACAGGCAAATGCGTCAGGTCAGTAATCGGGGCGATATCATTATTACTGACCTGACGCATTTGCCTGTGCTATTCCACACTAATTTCCAATGGTCGGTTTTTCTAATATAAAATATTGATATATGTTAAAGAATTGCTATCATTATTAAATAGAATCAACAAATCCTGCTAATTTTCTAACATGCTAATCAACGTAAAATTAGGATGATAGAGAGATAAAACAACTTTATCTTAGTTTGTGTGATAACCGATTTATGATTCATTCAAACATGTCAAATGTAAGAGTTAAAAATAGGACAAGATGTCTGTTCTTAAAAATGTCTTGGGTGCATAGCTTTACAATTACCTATCGAATCATTTTATTAAGGACAAGTAACAATAAAAAGTGCATGAAAAAGGATGCAGTTCAGACTGTAATCAACAATAACAACATAAATAGCCATTTTTCTGAGCATGAGACGGCTTGTCAGACTTGTCATGACAACCTTCCATTTTGGTATAATTGAGATGTTTTCTAGCAATTTTTAGCTACCACGATTGATCTAGATAAAAGAAAACATGTTAATTTCAATTCACCTGAACATCTTCGTTCCTTAGCTCGTCGATTAATACAGCTATTGGATAAAGAGAGTCGTCGCCTGATTCTGCCTGTGCCATTTGAGACGCCATCTTGGATTTTGAACAGACACCTTGCGGGGGACTTTTTACTGGAAAATTATAATATAAGTTTTCTGCTATATTTTATAGGAAATCCTTTTGTTAAAACCGACTCCAGGGAAAGTTAAAGTGTAATTTGTTCATATTTCATGAAGAATTAAATTATTTTAAATTGTTCTTAGTCACATTCGTGTTTATTTCATGGGCATTTCCAACTGATTCAAGCGTCTGTATGTAATTGCTACCGGCAATAATCTCGAAGGCGGCGCTACGATCATTACTTCCGCCTTGAACAGAAAGTAAACTTCATTGGCTAAACAACAGCTGCGACATAAGGTAGACACGTTGTTATATTAGTTTCTTTCACATAAGTGCAATGGAAATCCACATTGAAGTTACTCTTTTATAACATTTACGCAACCGAGACACTGTTTAACATCGAATTTTAAAAGTCATTGAAAGATATATCTGTTTTTTTAAATATCAACAGCAGACGAATTTCTTGCGTCTTTATCAGTTTTATTTTTGTATTTTGCTTCATTAATAATTCACATTATAATGGCACGTTGTTTTATGGTATGCTTCTTCGGAAACATAAGTCTCGGTTAAATGGTGAACGGGGGTCAATCCGAAAAGAAATGTTGGGGCCATTTGAACCAGCTGTTTCAGTTATCCATATTTTGATAGACATTTTAATGACAAAATTGACCGAACACAAAGTTGAAGGGGCCTTGAAGTAACTTTATTAATAAGAAACGTTTGTCTTTATTGTTTATGATTAAAATTAAACTGTTGATTAAATTACATATTGTAATGTATTTTTTGTGTGTGATATTTAATGAAATCTTGTTAACCTCCTTCTTACATGAATACCTAAAACAGGGGATCCAGTCGTTCCGTACCACCGGCAATCCGTAACGGTCAACCCGCACCAAGATCCAACCAAGATCATAAGTTTTTCCGTACCAAGATTTCAGTTGATCCGCTTCAAGGTTTTTTTTAAGTACCACAGTATTATATCTGTACCATACATATTTCTCATAAATTTATGCCCAATCAGAGGCATAAATTACAACCGAATGCCTGTCAAAATCAACAAAATATGCGTTGTTTCTCGTAAAATTATTGATATGGGTGGTTAAGGGGAGGTAACTTGTTGTAACAGGACAACATAGTTTCAATCATTAGGGTATCTAAGGCATTGACTACTGTTACCGATGGCACAGAACGACTGGGATTCAAAAAACAGTAGTGCATAATTTTTTTTTCCAGAAAATGCAGATATGCACATGAAGTTTTTAAGACATGGAAGGAACAGGACGTTAATGCTAAAATGGATTCTGATTGCTGCTTTCACCAGTGACGTTTCACAATCTCTGGAATCTAAGGAAATTCCATTTCCAAGCCACACTGAGAACTTTGAAGACACTTTGATATGGGCCGTGAAAATTGGAGATTCTGCTTCTAACAAATATGGGTTACAAGACATTGAAGACATTCAGAGGGAAGATGATTTAAAACACTTGGCGTACTCAGTTGAAAGTGATTTGAATATACATAGCCTAGGGAAAATTGGAGAGATACCAAATATTTTCTTATTTGGATATAATGTGCTTGATGGTTCTGATGAATCTGTCAAAACCTGGACATTTGCTGACCTTCACAACTACCACAGAAAGGTTCTGGACGAGGAGTTCATACAGAAGGCTCAGGTCAATCTAGAAAAGAAATTTGATAGCCATGAGAACATTGTGTGGTACAGTCGTCAAAAAATAGTGTCCAGACAAAAGAGGAGAGCTACATTTGAAGACCCCCTCTATAAGGAACAATGGCATCTGGTAATTATCAGTTAGATTTTCAGTCATTTATAATTATTAACATTAACATTAGACCCATCAGCATTCGTATTGCTGCCATTTTCATTAGGCTGAGAACAACCCGGAGGTCATATTCACATTTCTGTGCTGCAAGGCTGGGATTATCCAACTTAATAGATGCATACATTTCTTAAGTAAAAATGATGATTGAGTGATGAATCGTGACTCTCCAGTATTGTATAAAATGCTTTTGTGGGTTTTTTTATTTGTAGAAAAATCATATCTACTGGGCCATGGACATCAATGTGACGGGTGTTTGGAACAGAAATGTAACCGGGAAAGGTGTCACTGTCGCTGTGGTAGATGATGGTTGGTGTACAGTTGTTTTAAAATTGCTTTCTGCAAAGCTTTTCTTAAATTATCTTATACATATTCACAACAGCTATGGCAACAAAGGTCATGTGACAGACATTGCCCACTTATTACAGGGCAGCTTTTCAATACATCACACAATGCAGATAATAATTGTTTAGGCCTAAAAAAATAAACCTCAGGTACTCTGACTGTCCTTAGTTTTTACCTCCAACCCTAACAATTTTATCTCACTAGAACACACTCCATCCAGTGTTTGGATAGCTTGTCCAGAGGATGCAAACAAATTGATGGACAAACAAGGCAACTATATATATACCCTCTTTAGGCAGGTATCAAAACCAAATTTAAATCCCCTATAATTATAGAAGACCTAAAGTATGTTTGTATTTTTTTGTAATTTCTTAAATTAGCCTCTCATCCCTCAAAAAAAATCACAAAAAGATAAAAAGATATCCTGACTGACCAGCTACCCTATTTTTTCAGTCATGTTACCTAAAACATACACTTTTTTGTGTCGCCTGCAACGCGAGGCGACATATAGATACAATTGTGTATTACTTTGTCGGCGTCGGCGGTTGCGTCCGAAACAAGGTTTCTGTGCGTTAACTTGAGTTCCTTTGGGTTGATTGAACTCAAACTTGGTACACATATTGCATATCAATAGCTTGGACAATTTCAGAAGTTTACGTGCAACGTTGGTGGAATTATGCCACTTTTATTGCCAAATAAGGGCATTGTGTAGTAAATGCAAGAACCTTTTTATTTTTTAATCAATTCGTTTCAAATTTTGTACGGTAATGCTAGAAGCAATAATGTTTAACATATATTACAGGTTTTTCTGTCAAGTTTCAATGTTCCGCATTTTTAGGCGATAACTCGAGCCAAAACACTTTTCTTACTAAAAGCGCTGACCAGGCGAAACATTCACTCCTGTGGAATTCTTGTTTACTTGTTAAGTAAGCAAAAACAGGAACCAGAAATTTGTGCCATAGGATAAGATTGTATCAATGGCTAGTTTGTTTGGAGTTTTATGTCTGCAAAGCAGCTGGTGTCATTATTTTCATTATAACTCATTTATATACCTGGTACATGTCTCCCTAAATGCAATAGCATACAGTTTATTTGTGTCCAGAAATTTCTGTACAAATGATTATGATGAAGCAAAGTTTCACTGTATAAATGTAATATGGTATTCATCTTGTCACATGACAAAGCTTCTTCCAGTGTTGTTTATCTGATAGGTCTAGAATGGACCAATCCTGATCTCCAAGACAACTACAATGCAGCCGGAAGCTGGGATTTGAACTCTGATGACCCTGATCCTATGCCAAACAGTCGACTAGGTAATAGTTCAGGGAAGATTTTGAATGAAATATGCCAGCAAGATTATCAATGTAATATCATTGTTATCAGTCAACCATGCCATTAGGGGTGTAATGTCATTGTTATCAGTCAACCATGCCATTAGGGAGTTGTAATATCATTGTTATCAGTCAACCATGTCATAAGGGGGGTGTAATATCATTGTTATCAGTCAACCATGTCATTAGGGGAGTGTAATATCATGGTTGTCAATCAACTATGCCATTAGGTGTGTAATATCATTGTTATTGTAATGTCATTGTTATCAGTCACCCATGTCATAAGAGGGGTGTAATATCATTGTTATCAGTCAACCATGCCATTAGGGGTGTAATGTCATTGTTATCAGTCAACTATGTAATTAGGGGTGTAATGTCATTGTTATCAGTCAACCATGTCATTAGGGGGGTGTAATATCATGGTTGTCAATCAACCATGCCATTAGGTGTGTAATATCATTGTTATCAGTCAACCATGCCATTAGGGGTGTAATGTCATTGTTATCAGTCAACCATGCTATAAGGGGGGTGTAATATCATTGTTATCAGTCAACCATGTCATTAGGGGGGGTGTAATATCATTGTTATCAGTCAACCATGCCATTAGGGGGGCGTGATATCTTTCTTATCAGTCAACCTTGCCATAAGAGGGTGTTATATCATTGTTATCAGTCAACCATGCCATTAGGGATGTGTAATATCTTATCAGTCAACCTTGCCGTGAGGGGTGTGTAATATCATTGTTAATGCCATTAGGGGTGTGTAATTTCATTGTTATCAGTCGTCCATGCCATTAGGGGGGCGTAATATCATCGTTATCAGTCAACCATGGCATTAGGGGGTGTAATATCATTGTTATCAGTAAACCATGTCATTAGGGGTGTGTAATTTCATTGTTATCCGTGAACCATATCGTTAGGGTGGCGTGATATCTTTCTTATCAGTCAACCTTGCCATAAGAGGGGGTTATATCATTGTTATCTGTCAACCATGTCATTAGGGGTGTGTAATTTCATTGTTATCCGTGAACCATATCGTTAGGGTGGCGTGATATCTTTCTTATCAGTCAACCTTGCCGTGAGGGGTGTGTAATATCATAATCAACCATGTCATTAGGGAGGTGTAATATCATTGTTACCAGTCAACCATGCCATTTGGGGGGCGTGATATCTTTCTTATCATTCAACCTTGCCATAAGAGGGTGTTATATCATTTTTATCAGTCAACCAGGTCATTAGGGGGGGTGTAATATCATGGTTGACAGTCAACTATGCCATTAGGTGTGTTATGTCATTGTTATCAGTCAACCGTGCCATTAGGGGTGTGGAATATAATTGTTATCAGTCAAACATACCATTAGGGGGGTTTAATATCATTGTTATCAGTCAGCCTTGTCATCAGGGGGGTGTAATATCATTTTTATCAGTCAACCATACCACTAGGGGGGGGGCGTAATATCTTTGTTATCAGTCAACAATGCCATTAGGGGTGTAATGTTATTGTTATCAGTCAACCTTGTCATCAGGGGGGTGTAATATCAATGTTATCAGTCAACCATACCACTAGGGGGGGGGCGTAATATCTTTGTTATCAGTCAACCAGACCATTAGGGGTGTGTAATATCTTTGTTATCAGTCAACAATGCTATTAGGGGGGGGTGTAATATCATGGTTGTCAGTCAACCATGCCATTATGGGGGCGTGATATCTTTCTTATCATTCAACCTTGCCATAAGAGGGTGTTATATCATTGTTATGAGTCAACCATGCCATTACGGGGTCGTGATATCTTTCTTATCATTCAACCTTGCCATAAGAGGGTGTTATATCATTGTAATCCGTCAACCATGCCATTCGGGGGGTAATGTCATTGTTATCAGTCACCCATGCCATTAGGGGGGTGTAATATTATTGTTATCAGTCAACCTTGTCATCAGGGGGGTGTAATATCATAGTTGTCAGTCAACCATGTCATTGGGGGGGGGGGGTAATATCATTGTTATCACTCAACCATGTCATTAGGGAGGTGTAATATCATTGTTTTCAGTCAACCATGCCATTTGGGGGGCGTGATATCTTTCTTATCATTCAACCTTGCCATAAGAGGGTGTTATATCATTTTTATCAGTCAACCAGGTCATTAGGGGGGGTGTAATATCATTTTTATCAGTCAACCATTTCATTAGGGAGGTTTAATATCATTGTTATCAGTCCACCATGTTATTAGGGGGGGGTAATATCATTGTTAATGCCATTAGGGGTGTAATGTTATTGTTATCAGTCAACCATGTAATTAGGGGGGTGTAATATTATTGTTATCAGTCAACCAGACCATTAGGGGTGTGTAATTTCATTGTTATCAGTCGTCCATGCCATTAGGGGGGGGTAATATCATTGGTATCAGTCAACCATGCCATTAGGTGTGTTATGTCCTTGTTATCAGTCAACCATGCTATAAGGGGGGTGTAATATCAGTGTTATCAGTCAACCATACCATTATGGGGGTGTAATATCATTCTTATCAGTCAACCATGCTATAAGGGGGGTGTAATATTATTGTTATCAGTCAACCTTGTCATCAGGGGGGTGTAATATCAGTGTTATCAGTCAACCATGGCATTAGGGGGTGTAATATTATTATCAACCATGTCATTAGGGAGGTGTAATATCATTGTTTTCAGTCAACCATGCCATGAGGGGGTGTAATATCATTATCAACCATGCCATTAGGTGTGTTATGTCATTGTTATCAGTCAGCCTTGTCATCAGGGGGGTGTAATATCATAGTTGTCAGTCAACCATGTCATCAGGGGGGTGTAATATCATTCTTATCAGTCAACCATGCTATAAGGGGGGTGTAATATCATTGAATAGCAATGTAATATCATTGTTATTAGTCAACCATTCCATTAGGGGGGGCGTAATATCATCGTTATCAGTCAACCATGTCTTTAGGGTGGTGTAATATCATTGTTACCAGTCAACCATGCCATTAGGTGTGTTATGTCCTTGTTATCAGTCAACCATACCATTAGGGAGGTTTAATATCATTGTTATCAGTCAACCATACCATTAGGGGGGTTTAATATCATTGTTATCAGTCAACCATACCATTGGGGGGGTGTAATATCATTGTTATACCAATAACAATTAAATCTGAAATAATTTTTTTTTATTATTTTTTCATTTTTTACAAGACAAGACAAAACATATATGACATTGTTCCTAAGTACATGATTGTTCATACATATTAAACAAAGATCATCATCATCATCAGACATCATCATCATCATATAAGATATTATTATTAACACATAAGCAGATATTAAGCAAAAAATTGCCAATTGATGATTATTATATAAAGACATACTCCGCAAAAACAATATATATAAACCTATGACATCAAACACACAAGAGAAAAATCAAATAAACTGAAACACGAAAAAAAATACACAAAACATTACAGGGGATGGGGAGCACTCCTAGGTCGTTATATTTTAACTTAAGCCTGGTGAATCAAAATGTATGAAATATTTGATGATTATTATTACAGTGAGGAGACGATAAAGTACAATAGATGTATATACATGTTTAGAACAAATATGTCATATATATAGTCATATTATAATTGCATCCAGTTATCTATTTGATGGTTTAACTCATCCTTATTTATTAATTTATTCTGTTTATACACAAGGATCTTTTGTGCTTTTAATTCAAATTTTATATTGTTTTTTGAGACTAGTCAGATTAAGGTCAATTTCTAGGCATTTAGTTTGATATATGTATTGTTTTATAAGTAGTATTATGATGTTTTCTATATAAAACTTTGTATGGTTATATGTATGTTTACCAAAAAGGAATTCTTGTTTTTCAAATCTTAGTGTAAGGTTTTTAGTTATAATATTTGTTTTCAGCTCGTCAATTAGCCTATCAATTTTTTCGCAATCCCATAGCATATGAACTATTGTTTCAGGGTGAATTTTACAGAAAGTGCAAAGGTTATTGTGTGATTTGCCAATTTTGAATAAAAATGTGTTTGTAGTGAGAATTCTGTGGTTTATTCTGTACTGTAGCCACTGTAGTTTGGAGTTGGTGGTGGTTTTAAAAGGACATTCATATATTTTTTTCCATGTTTCATCATCTATATTATCATTTAATATCCATTTTCTTTGAGCAGTAGGTTTAACATTATTTTTAATTAATATTAAATATATGTCTTGTGCTCCTTTACTATTTTTAAGTATTAACTTAAGATTGATAGGTATATTTGGAAAGATAACCGTTTTTTCTGAAGTAAAAATGTGATGATTTTTTCTTATAAAATGATGCACAGCATTCTTTAGGCCTTGGTATGTCAAAAAATAAGTATTTATGTTATATTTTTCTTGAAATTCTTCAAAGTGGTAGAGTGATCCATCCTGTTTAATAACGTTATATACAAATTATACAAATATATTTTGACAATGATATACATGTATTGAAATATTTTAGTCAAATATACATGTATATTTACATTTGCTCTGCATCCTTCCATTACAATGTATTGAGAATTTACATTTGCTATCGTAACGTCATCAATCTCTTTTGCGATGTCATCAATTTGGTTGTTATCAACACTTAATTTGCTGTTCAAAGAACAGTTTGAAATAACTTAATACTCCTCAAATTATAAATAATGAATATTTAAGCAAATGTTGTTATAGTACCAGGCTTTATTAAGTTTGTCATCAATAGCAGTGTGTGTTATAGGATCATAAAAACATTTACTAAAACATTCATTGCTTAAATAATGATGTTCAGAAGAAAAATATTTATTTGTTGGTGCATTAATGTTTTCACACTGCAAATTCCAATAGACTGAAATAAGGATGATTGTAAAATCCTTTTTGTCTTAATGAAATATGGCAACAAGAATATCATAAGATAAATATATAATTCCATGGTTATCAGTCAACAATGCAATACTGTAAACAAAAACACTAAACATTATCATTTTAGTGGTAATGTATTTTTTTTAAGTGTTAGCTGTGATGTTAGTCAAAGATATGTGTTCCAACATATGTTAATTTTGTTAACGGGAAGAGTAGGTGTGTTATTACATGATTGGAGGGTATTTTGTTTTAATTTGGCCCTCGTCAAAGCCTCTTGCCACAAATCACAGATTATCAGGCACAGTCATTGTATACAACCTCCATACATCAGCGTTATCTGCTGATTTAAAACCACAGACAAAATCTTGTCTGATCAAGAGGTAAATAAAATTATATTTATTGTAAAAATGAAACACTCTAGAAACAAAAGGTTGATACTTAAACAGAACTAATGTTTAATGTTGAAGAATCCAACCATCACGGCACCAGGTGTGCTGGAGAGATTGCTGCCGTGCACAACTCTATTTGTGGAGTGGGCGTGGCCTATGAGGCTAAAGTTTCTGGGATTAGGGTCCTAGATGGACCAATGACTGACAGTCTGGAGGCTGCTGCGTTCACCAAACATTTACAGATAAATGATGTGTATAGCTGTAGGTAAGTGGTTCTAACTTCCGACCCTGTCTCCAACTCTGGAACTCTGAACACTACTTAATAAACTCTAACCATTTACCTGTTGAAAACATGACATTTACTTTGAAGAATTGATTAAAAAAGCAGGTACAAATTTTTTGTTTTCACATCAAAATGATGAAAATAGCTTGTAATTGCACTGATTTTGAAAGTGTAGGTGCAGGGTTTCCAAATCTAAACAGATTTACCTGTCAAAATGTACAACTACACTAATTAGTGACTATGTATACTGTGTCAAACAATTTTCATTGTTTTCGTGATACAAAAGATATACTATTTAAAAGAACAGTATATATTTTTAGTCAAGAAACTACATATCCCCAACAACCTCAAACACACTCAATCAAAAACTCAAATTCCTATATAACAAAATTAATTAAGAAAATGACTTTTCACAAAAACATAGCGGTAGTCAAGCTGGATGGATCAGTAGCTTCCACATTTTGTTTCAGTTGGGGCCCTGACGATGATGGTAAAACAGTCGATGGACCCCACCTCCTAGCACAGGTAGGCATTTTTTCTTGCTTTTTGTTGTTTTAAGGTTTGAGTCCTTTTTATTTTCCAATCACGGTTTTGTACCTAGATATCGTAATATAGAAACTTTCTACGATGCTCATAAAACTTAAAAGAAGGAATTTGTCTATTCAATATTTCCTGGTTTTAGTGGCTACAATGAAACTTTTCTTTCCACCCCTTTTTGTTTCAACAGGAGTCTTGTTTTGTAGGAAAGGAGAGAGTTGTAATCATTCACTCCCCATTTTACAAGGATTTAAAACATGTTAACCTATTTTAATGTATAAAATGGAAACCTTCCCAGGGCTATTCCTCCATCATTCAGGGTCTGCGGCTGACATCTGTATACTGTACTATGATTGGTGGAGTGTCATTCCTAACACCAATGTACGTTACCAGTGATTATTTTGCCTAGTTTTACGGGCGAAGACAGACTGCTTCCCCTGGCTTGAAATGTTTCATTTACCCAAAATGAAGAAAAAACACAGGAATATCTCCCCAATTTCAATAAAAATAATGCTATATTTTCCTAATTCATGTATAAACAGGCTGTTGTAAAATTTATGTTTTAATGTTTTGTTGGTCGTTGAGCCTCTGTAAGACTGCCTCCCAGCCCTCCCATACAGTTAGGTCTGCGGGTAGTTCTGGAATAGCCCATAACAATCCATTGTGCTTGCTTTGCTTTGATGATGTAATTAAAAAGACTACGGGATCCACAAAATGTACATACGTGTCACTTCACAGCTATTGACATCACCATAATGTTAACTGGTAACTTGCCATTTTGCTTAGTAGTTAGAATATGTGCAGGCTTCAGGGAAGAACAAGCCTGCTGCCTCCCCACTGCATGATGTTACGAGGCAACTAATGTCAGATCCTCAGCAGAGGGGTAGGCTTACTAGAGTCTTGTCAGATTTATGTTTTGTAAATGATATCTGAAACAAGAACACAAATTTGATACAACATATTTTGAATGTCATAGCAAACAACAAAAATTCAGCCAAGTGAACAATTTTTGGTTGATAAGGACATTAATATTGTGTAGGATTTTTTTGCTTTTTTATCAGTTATTTATTATGAAAAGATTTCCTATGTGGCGTTTCAATGACTGGTATGATATGTACACTTTCACCTTCATCAGACAAATGACCAGTGAAGCGTATGCACACAAAGGTGTAAAATGTGTACAAGTTGTCCACAAAATTGATGTTGATTCGGCTACGCTGTAAGCGTATGTACAACAGTTGTTATATATGTACCGAAATGACTATTCAGCTACGATTTGGTAAATACTTGGTCATCGATATACGTGAGTCTTTGAGCCCCTCATCTCGATTTAGAAATGGCCCATAGCAGTGTATCCAGATGGCTTCCTTTATCTGCCGCTTGAACAGATTGCTCTCGGTCCAAAACTTTGGAGTTATCCCAGTCAATCACATGATTTTTCTGTATGGAATGGTCTGTTATTGCCGATTTATTTATCTGGGACTCAGATTGTTTTCTTTCAGATCTGGTGAATTTCTTACCTTCTTGGGTTTCCGTATTTTTCCGGTGTTAACCAAGGCGGACCACAAATTGCCTTCCAGTCTCTCCAATATACGATGCGTCACAGTTTTTGCATCCGATTTTGTATACTCATTCTGCGACGTTTTCTTTAGGTGTTTTATCCTTAGGGTGAACTAGGATATTACAAAGCTTTTACAGTTCAGTAGATGCATGTAAGTTGGAGACATAAACTGCCCAATGGTGTATTAATGTGTATGTTACAGGCTGCTATGAGGTACGGGATCAACTACGGGCGTGGCGGTTACGGAAATATTTATGTTGTTGCTAGTGGTAACGGGGGTCGCTTTCAAGATAACTGCAATTTTGACGGCTATGCAAATTCCCTTTACACCGTAACCATAGGTATGTATGTTATTACTTACATGGCTGAATAGAATCCATTGATTCATTAGAAACTAAGCTGAATAATGTGGCTACCAAATAATATCTGGAATAATTTAAGAGGTATCCTTTTGAAGTAGTTTTGTGAGTTCTGGAAGAAGTGTCCCCAATGAGTTTTTATGTTCACTGTACTGTAATTCCAGTTTAAATTTTACATTATTTGTCTTAAATCAAATTTGATATATACATGATTCATTATTTGAAAATTCAATCAATGTAAGGCTGGGTAATATGTATTGAAGTTGGTGTATTAACTTGATACCATGTTATTTATCAGAACGGATATTTTCATTATAACTATTACTGCATAGGAAGTAAAAAATCAGATTTTAAGATAATCTGTCAGTGATTTTATGAGAGTTTACATGTTTTAACTATGATGGTTTTATTTTTGTATGGTTTTACGGCCCATCAACAATTTCAGTCATTTAGGGCCATACAATGATGGTATTGTTAATACAACCATTTAGGGCCATACAATGATGGTATTGTTAATACAACCATTTAGGGCCATACAATGATGGTATTGTTAATACAAC